TTTATAATCAGAACCCCCCATTATCCCGACACCTCAGCAAGTGTGCCAAGTGTGCCAACACACTTGCAATCAGTTATTGGTCCCAGTCTGCACGCGCACTGTCCCGTTTGGGATCACTTTCGCATTCCGCGCCCTCACGACCGCTTCGCGAGCAAGTTGAGCAGCAATTTTTTGTAGGAACAGTGGTGAGTCATGGTGAAGGGTTTGGGGTTTGGCAAGGCCTCTTAACCATGCTTTCCGTCAAGAGCATTCTCCAGTGCGAAGTGGTGGAACGCTCAACTAAATTGAATGAGCTGTCCCGCGCACCTCAACTCCTAACATCCATTCGCAAGTTTTTGTTTGATTTCGATAAAGTCGCGTACATGTACTCGAGTCCTACTTTAATCTGCGGCGTTTCATCCGTTGTCTGCTGCTAGTTTTTTTCTTGGGCGCTTTGGGTACATTGTTGGCAGCATCATTTGTCTTGTATGGTAACAAATGAACCCTTTCCATGTGTGTATATATAAATATATTTGATAGTAACGTTACAGACCTTGACGCGCGACATGATCGACCCTTAAACAAGGCCGACTTTAAAGCAAGATAGACTGGAGATTGCAAATGGGATGCTCCGACGCAATAAGCACGTAAACAAGCGGTCCTGCTATCTTTCCTCCTTCAGACCGCAGAAGTGTTGTCTCATCTCTTGCAGGGCCTTAGAACGAAGTGAAATGCATCGGAGGGACTGGAACGGACGCCGTGGCGAGGCCCTGGGGTTTTGCTGGGCGTGCTGAGGTTGGGCGCTTCTTGTTTACTACTCTTTGGGGTCGTTGTGGGCTGCTCAGTTCTTCGCTTCTGCTTCTTCACCGAGGAGATGTCAGAGTGGTGCTGCTATGAAGCCGACCCAAATGAGGTAGTCGCATGCCAAACGGGTTTTAGCCCAGGAGCATTTGCCATAAATTGCGGCAACTAGGATCCTGGATGATGTGTCCCGGACGGGTGGACAACACAACACAGGCTTCTCTAAACCTCAAGTTATCGCCTTCACGAGGGATCCAGCACAACCATTCCAGGAAGGCCAGGTGCTGCCTTGTAAAGTCCAGACTTGGCCTTGACCTCCTGCGATTTTGTCGCCGGATTTTCAGGGTGTTCCAGATTGAGCCAAACAACCATAGAGGGCACAGCATATTGGCATTGTAGAAAACTTGGGGTGAATAGTGGGAGGAACATTTACTTCACGAAGTCCGCGGCAAGGCAAAGAAACCCGATGGTCCTGGCCCTGAATCGCTTACATCCCTGAACAAGTTCTGCAAACTGGGAAGACAAGGTTAATCTCGCTGAAACTTTCTGGATGGCCAAAACTGAACGTGGGTTACGAAAGACGCGCATGAGATCATATGGCAACATTGCCCGCTGATTCCAACAAGTCGCGAAGGCCCTTCAACTTAGCAGCCTCCAATTAGTCACCCGTTGGCCTTAGCGATCTTTACGCGTTTCACGCAAGCTACTTGCTTGCAGGCTAATACGTGAAATTGTGCAGCTGCTACACGCTGATATTGCCAATGAGCATAGAAAAGTTACACATTTGGAGCGCTGAGTTCCTGATCGTCTCACAGGCGATCACTCCATCCGTACATGGGGCTTGCAGTTTGAAGCTTTAATCTGTTGGTGCCCCATGTAGCCTCATAAAGGTGGACGTCAGGCACTAAGTAGCTGCATGGACACTGTGTGAGGCATATTTTGTTCCTGTTCTATGGGTTCCATGCAGCTGCACATGTGCGTAGTGCATGTGCGATGGGGGGAACCCGCGAGAATACAGCAAAAAACTTGATATTGATAGATGTGCACAATGAAGGCCGTAATGTTTAGAGGCTGTTTCCAAAGTAATGTTGCCTTGCAACAATCACACATGGTTTTCCTGTTGTCAGATGTGCCGCGGACTTGACAATGTTCCATTTGTTCAACGTTGCAGCCCTACATGATTTTGCAAATATGGCCAGACAAGAAAAACGTGCTGGTGGACGACAGAAACGGTCCTTTCTGCGTGCCCAGATGTGGCGGAATAGGATCCGGCGGATGGTCCAAAGCCGTCTGGCGAGCCGTGAGCTACATGTCCACATCTTGCTTTAGATTCACGATGCGATCCATCCGCACAAATCTTTGGCTGGCAGAGTACAAGCATGTTTCCCGAGTCATGTTTCGCGCATGGCGCCAGACCCCAAGCATCCCCTAGCTTGAACCCCAAATTTAACAGCATGGGGATACAAAGCTTTACAACCCATTCCGTCTCGCAGCAGCATCCCATATAGGAAACCATATAGCAGGTAAGATTAACGCAGATGTGTGCGCACGTGCAGAGTGCAAAACTGTCACGAATCGAGGTACGCTGCATTCATGCCGATTTGCACCTGAGCTGATTGAGCTTTTGATTTGCATCCCTTTGACAGTGTTGGTCTTGAGATTTCTCTGTGTGGGATTCCGTGTTTGAGAACCCTCGTACGATTCTTTGGACAATTCTGTACTTGCCATCCTTGTAGAAGCAGCCACGGCCAACCACATAAAGAGTATAATTGGGGGGGCAGGGGGGGTGGGTTTTGTGATATGAAAATTAATGGGTTTCGCCTCCCATTCTGAAGGTCACGTAATCTCACGGGCCTGAAGGCAGAGGCCGCCTGCGCGGATGTCCGTATTTCCAGGACCATGAAGGAATATTGAGGTCCAAGAGGCTTGCACCATGTCTGCATACAATCATATCGACACTCCACACCAAAGCAGCCGGGTGCGAAACAAGTTGAATATTCAAATCGACATGTGAACACATCAGACGAAAATAGCGGGACAAGGTGCATGGCTGACATTTCACACCTACTCTACTTGGAAATTCACCAACAGCCCAAGTAGGGAGTGCTTACCTTCAGATCCTGGCATGCTTAGAGATCTACAGCAGTCTCAGAGATCCCACAAGCTGTGTTCGACTTTGGGGTTATATTAGGGTTATATGGGGTTTATATTGGGATAACTGAAAAGGAAATGGAAGCTACTATTTAGGGTTATTTAGGGTTTAGGGTTTGGGGTTTGGTAAATCTCTGGTTGAAAGCTCATGTTGTGTCATCCTTCTCCTTATGCAAGCCCTCCTCAATCTTTACATGGACCCCCTGTCTCCGACATCCTGCATGTTGTCTGGAAATTCGGTACGAAGATAGTATGCTGTGTCTTGACTGGTTACCATGATATATGGCCCTACATTCTTCCCTATATAACCCTCTTTAAGGAGTTTAGCCTATAGCTCAAACACAAAACAACAGCTGGAGATGCACTGCCAGAAATGCTCCGGTATCTGCTCACCTCTCCATGCCCTCCTTTAAGTCCTGCCCCCACCCATTAACAGAGTATTATAGGGGTAATCTTATGCGCGATATATAATCATATTGGACATATTATCCAATTGTTTATGAGTGGGGGCAGTACCCAACCTCTCCCCTCATGTTTCTCCTGAAGCTTGTATTGCGCAGTGTGCCCATCCGTTCCCACGCTCTACTGTAGTCCCCTTTGCCCCTGAAGCCTACTTCTAAATAGCCCCCGCCTGTCTTAAACCCGAAGCTTACAAACCATTTGCGACTTAGGCGTGGGGGTCACCAATCTGGCTAACAGCATCAATCTTGGGCCGCTGTGGGCGTCCCTGGCACCTGGGACCAAGCAGAAACACGGGTTTCACAGACCCTGGCAGGATCGCCCTGAACGATTCCTGGAAATTAGCCATCTTTGGTTTAGTAGATGGCACTAAACCGGGCGCTTCTTTCGATCTTCCCAGAGGTCTAGATGTTGAGGTCTAAGCTTAGGGCTTTGGGTCCAGAAGGATAACGGGGTTCGGGCATGAGTTGACTCTAGCTTCGAGAAATGCCCCACTGAACCATAGTGAGTTTTCTTCACGCTCCGAACTCCCCGAAGCGCCCCGTTCCTGAGCACGGCCAACTTGTTCGGGGTTAGGAAGGCTATGAGAGAATAGAATCCCTATATAAGCCCCCAAAATACAATTCCCGTATACCCTACTAAGCCCCTGTAAGCCTATCCTCTAAGATTCTAAGATTCCTCCTGATAAATCTGCGCAGGGCTCCTCCGGTGCTAACCCCTCATCTTCTGAGCAGGGCCCCCGCTTACACATCAGAGTTTCCCTTAGACACCCAAGCATCTTAGAATCTTTTCATAGGGACCCCCGTAAGTGACCCCTGTTGTCAGAACCCCTGCATGATATCCTTATGTCCCAGGCTCCAACGCTGGGCTTGACGATGTTCTTGTCATTCCTGCCCACTGCGCCTTCCTTTTCTTGGGCCGGGGCTTTAGGTTTTAGGGCTTAGGGTGTTTGAGGCCCAGGTCACCGCTTTGGGTTTACAGGGTGCTGATGGACTTAAGGTTCCTTGCATTGATGAATTGGAGGGTTTCGTGTGTATCTTCGGAGCGATTCCGATGTTAATTGTTGGCTTGTTTTCTGGCGGTCGTGAGTATTCTTACTGCAGTTGGCCAGGAAGGCTCGGGATTTGAGCAGAAGACTCTTGTGCGTCTGCGCACGGGCCTTCTGCATCAAGCTACCATGTCACCTTGATCATCGTACAGGGAGGCTATCCCCATAATATTCCCTGTATCATCCCCTCATACCCTTTACAGTATCGCATACTCACTCCCGCACTCCTGCTTAAGCCGCGGGACAACATTCCAAAAGAATGGCTATCCTCCTTGGCCATTCAGCCTCCACACAGCAGCTTGAGTGTGGGCAGGGCGCAGTAAAATTCCAATGCTTGATTGCATCTGAATGGCAGCCTGCCCGCAGCCTCTACCTTGGAGTTGTTTGGTTGGGGGATGAGCTCATCAGCTCATATTCCGCCAACCCGAACACGGTACTCAAATTACGTCTCCATTCTAGGCTAAGGGTCAGCTTGTAGGCTGTGAGCTCACCAGAACCTTGGTAACCTGAACTACCTTCTGTGATTCTACCCGCACTTGCAGCTGGGGCTCTGGGTTCATGGTGTGGGGAGTTGAGGGGCGCCTTATGGAATAGGCGAGGTGATGTAGATACTTTGGTTGGGCTCCCATCTGATGAGGACACATTTTCTCCTAGGTGCTCCTGCTCATCATTGACAACTTCTACGCATTGAGGTGCTCTTCTCGTGCCCAGGACAGCAAGGGATTCTGAGGGCTACTCGGAAGTACTATCTGGCACGATGCTCATAAACTGTTCCGCTAAAGCATTTCATCCGGCTGCGCCGTGGCAGCAGAAAGCCAGGATCATGTAAAGATGCAAGGGATACTTGTTACTCCATATCAAGCTTCGGACGGGATGTCTTCTAAGTAGTTTCCCCCTACGCACCCTACGAAAGTCTCGAATGTATCGATAAGGACCCACAAGAGAAAAAGGGCACCTGAGCTGAGAACATCCAAATGAGAACGGGCGCGCCCCGCCTGAGAGACAACCAATAGCCGGCTGTGTTGTGATGTGGACACGTGCAATACAGTGCAAACGTGCGACTGCTTTATGGAAACTAGTTTTATCGGGATTGCTATGCCTGAGCTTCAGAGACTGATTGTTAAGCGCTAGTCTGCTTTACGTGCTGAAAGGCGAGGATCCAGAGCCGATGCCTTACCGCATGCGGAAACCAGCACAGGGAACAGCCAACAACTCGCCCCGCATGTCAACTTCTTGAATGAAGGAATTGCCAGCGGGATCCCTCTAGATCTCAAGATAGAGGCTTGGGCAATGCTCACATGCTTAAGCCCGAAACTCCAGACCCTGAACCTTCTTCCCGTGCCCGAGACCCTACAGACCCAAAGCCGAGCCTTTGCAGGAGAAGCTCTTGGTCTGGTACTATTGGTTCCAGGTAGGCGAGCTTCACTTCCAACTCCATGGTTTGTTGCATGGTTTGGAGTCTTTGAGCCGTGTCATATTTCGGGGAGTACTGTTAAGACTGTGTATTGATAGATGCGTGAGTTCAGCGTGCATGGTCTTTTCAGGAGGGAGGGGTTCCCTGTACATGACATCTTCGATCCTCGACTGGCGCAGTGCCATGCCACCCTGAACCCTGAACACGAACTCCCCGAATTGCATTGTACCTTTCGCCGGACGCGGCAGAGCTCTTCTGCTTGCGACAGTGTCTCGCCTACGCATCCTCAAGGATATGGGCTTCTGAACCTCAGATCCCAAAACCTCCGCTCTAAACCTTAGCGGCTTTAACCCCTGCACTAGGTGATTTTCGTCCTCCTGGTCACTGCCATTGGCAACAACTTCATCTCATTCTGTCAGGCCAGTGTTAAGGGGTTTCGGGTATAGGGATGCAACAGAAAAGCGCCTCCAGCTGCGAGGCACTGGCAGAGAATCCGCTCGCATTCCCGGACATCTTGGCCGCTGAATTGCCAAAGGCAACTCACTTCTACATGCACCTCAGCAAAAGTGGAGTCTTTAGCACCAATGAAATTCCATTTAAGGGCTAGGAGCGGGTTGAGGGTTTCGGGTGGGGTAGAGAGTCAAAGTGAGCTCGCACCTTTTTTGGATGGCTTGGGCTGCGACGTGTGGTTTCTTTTGCCCAGGTTACAGAGTCAGAAGGCGTCGACTCTTTGGGTGAACCGTAAAGTTCAGGCACGCTACATCTTGATCTTGGATGGACTATGGGTTGATGGGCGAGATTTATGTTTTTTGAAGCGCAGCCACCGTTCAGCGCCAGCATGGTACAGAGATTCCAGATGAGGGTCCTATTCTGGGTGGGGTGCCATGACGCGGATCCTGACATTCCGGGGTGGGACGAACAAGCATACAGTGTTTTCGTTGGATTTGCACATCAATTAAACATGGCATACATGTCGTCCCCTGCTGGCTTCAATATATACCAAAAATTTAGTTACGGTCGATGCCTCACATACGTGCTTTCCACCCTCGTGCTGTGGAGCCTTTGGAAAATACACCCCATTTGGGATCTTCATTTGCTATGCCCACTGCTCTAGACTTCTTGACCCGTACTCCTTTCGTAGCGAAGAAATCAGATCCTGCACTGACGGGAACAGGACAGTGGAGGTTGTAATTAAGTTATCTTGGGGTAATAACATAACTCCAGGGTCCCTTGGCCCTTGAAAGTACACCGTACATGGAAGCAGAATTTCAGAAAGACAACGATCTTCACAGGGCAGGTTCCATCTTAGTTTAGGAACGGGTAACACCTCAACCTCAAGCAACTACACCCCAACTCCATGTTTGTTTGGGGAGGATAAGAAGACCTAGGAACTTCCTCGTGGTGCAGTGGTCCACGCACGTCGTCAATATGGTGCGCTACGTTAATCTGGCGAAGTTCATTGGCTTCAGCGCTCTGTACCCCGAGGAGGAGGTGATTCATGTACCCGTTTATAGTCCCCCTTCAGTAGATAGAATATGGGGTATATGGGGATCCTATTATAATAAACCCAAAGCCATGTTCTATCTACTTAAGGGGGACTATAAGCTGCCAAGTTTGGGGCATTGCATGTAGGGCATGTTGAGGTGTTCCGGTTCGGGTTTTGGGGTGTAGAATGGTTTCCTTATAACGCCTACACTACCCTGTAACCCCAATTCATGGGAACCCATTGGTCGGGATAATTTTTTCCGTGCTGGAGGCGGGGGACACCAAGGCTTTAAGGAACTTCAGCGCTCGAAGTCAAATCTGCCCTCTATATAATGGTAGTTTCCCAAAAAAGGGAACCCCAATATAGACCCCTCAACGCCCTCACACGCCTTAGCTCCGAGACCCCGAGCCTCCAACATCCTAAAGTCCGGCAAATGCTTCCAGAGATAACCAGCAGGCGAAGAAGAAGTCTGAGCCGGAAGATCAGGCATCGCCTTTGAAATCTTGAGTATAGAGCGTTTCTCGAAATGTGGGACCCCAGCCTGCTGGGATGTGGTGTTGATGATACGCAGGAAACAAGGTTTCTGGCTCACATCCTTGCATCAGGTTTTCGGGATTTTGATGGGTCGGAGCGCTTCTGGTTTTCTGCAGGTGTTGCGTAGGAGCTTTGCTTCGTCAAGACTTCTTGTGCTTGAAATTATGAAGTAGGTTGGGTGCAGCTAGGGGCAGCATCGTTCTCGTCGGAGCTCTACGCGAAGTGTTACAAACGCGTACAGGCCACAATGTCAAAAGAGGCCTTACAAGCATTCCTGTCATCAGAAAACAAGCGCCAATGGGGCTCCATATTAGTTTGCAGGCAGAGTAATGATCGACCGTAGCGCTACCATGCGCTACCATTTGAATTGCCATCGTGGGTCAAGTATGGTTCTTGCTCAGATTCTTGCCTTCCTCTCACACTTATACTTTCAGTTGCGTTTTCCATCTTTGATTCTGAGAGAATATTCTTGAACTTTCTGCTCCCCATCCCGCACTCAGCATTTCCCACAATTCCGGTCTCCCGTATGTCCCACAACAGTAATTCGTGTTTTGCAAACTTGGGGGATCCCCGAACTGGAGAGTTTATAATGCACTGCGTGGCATCTCTGCCTGATCCTATCAGAATCTCCTTGCCCGAAAAAGAGAGCGCTACCTTCCCAGGAATACATGTTCCCCTGCGTCGTCACCGATGGCACAAACGGGGCAAGCTTATAGTTCATTTTGGCAGAGGGCCTGAAGCAGAGCACCGAATCCAAAAAGCAAGACAAGAATGGGTTGGACAAACATGGGACCCATGCCTCAGTTGTAATGGAAAAGAAAATGGAAACCACTGTAATATAATGGGTATATTATTTACATGTCAATTTGCACTTGACGGTTTATTTGGAGGTTCATGGGACTTAGTAACTAGTTTTAACTGGGCTCATGACTGGTAACCGTACTTTTCCTGCCCCCAAATGGCCTTATAGCGGTTACCTCAAGTATTGGTGGCGTTGTGACCCCAGCTTTTTCGTAGTAACGAAATCCCATGAAGCTTCACGGAGAGCCTCGGAATCAGTGCCCATGAGCCAGCAATTTGATTCAGCTCGGCACTTGGATATTGGTCAGATACACACCTGATCTATTTCCTCCTTCACCAGCCACCTACTATGATGTCAATCCTGCCAGGCCACCAAGCCCTAAACCTTAATACCTAAATTGCAAGCCCTAGACCCTAAGCCCTAAAGCCTAAAACCCTAAGGACTAAAACTTAAGCCCGAGCCCGAGACTCGCCTAGAATCTAAATTTCGGGCAGGACTACTATGGCTTTGGATCCCGCAGCGCGCGCTGGACTATCAATCTACTGATAGGCGCAGTTCCCTTCCCCCGGACCCATGGGAGGATCCAGAAAGTAGATCCTGTGAAGGGTTACCAGAAGGTACCCAGCAATAGTGAAGGGTACCATATTGATGGCTCTACTTTCTAGATCCTCTCAGGGGTCTGCGCTGTTTGGGTTCAGACTTTGCAGTTGAAGGATTGCAAGACCTGTTGATGGGGAGTTTTCATTTTGGATGTTTTCGTCTGAAATTCGCCAAGCTACATTGCAATCTTTGTCAAGTTTTTACTTCTGCTGCGCGAAGACCATCTATGGGACTGAGCTAGCCTCCATGATAACTTAACTAAAGATTCGTGATCCAGGTTTGTGGTCATCTTCGGAAACTCGCGGCTAAAACTTTGAAAAGACCCGAATATCAGGATACGGCTAGTCAGGGAATCTTCCAAGGACTTCAGCTTCAATCCATGTCTGTGAATTTCAGATTCATCCCTTGGTGTTCTCTACAGACCCCTTATGCCAACTTCGAGAAGATAAATTCTTGTGCAGCACTTCACTTGCATGTAGAGCTCGCACCGACTGCGCCATGAACTGTGCACGTCTGCACTCCCCAAGAACCTGCACGCCAAAGATACCCAACACTGTGAAAATCCAGATTCTTGTGGGGGAAGGTAATGCAAAAGCTTGAGTAAGTAGCAGCATTAATATCCCTTTGTAACCTTATTTGTGTTTTGTCTGCTGTACCCCAAAGCCCATTTTGAATTAATGTTGCTCCTGCACTGCAATCCCTATGCCAACTCCCACGTGAGCCAAAGTGTCCATTTCATTTGCTCTTTTTCATTCGATCATAGGCCTCCGTACCCATGCTGCTTGGGGAACCGTTCCACTTCACTTTTGCGTTCTGCTTCGGCGTACACAAGCAGCACCCAGAAATGAAGCAGAACCCAAGATGAAGCAGCATGCACTTCTGCAACTGATTTTGCTGGTAGGCTTGAACTTGCCTTCTTCTGCCAAAGCTAACTGTGTCTTTACCAAACCCCATTGCGTGCTGCTCCAGTCACCGTTCCACTTCACTTTTGCGTGCTGCTTCAGCACAATTCAAGCAGAACCCAGATCTGAAGCAGAACCCAAGCCGAAGCAGCATGGCTATGGAGTCCTATGATTCGATTCCCGCCCCATTAATTCTAACGCTGGACCCTAAACTGAACCCAAAACCCTCGGATGACCTGGACAGTAGATGCCCCTCACGAGCGCCTGGAAATTGCCCAATAATAGCAGATGGTTCCTCGCAGGGGTCTGGAAGTTGCAGGTGTAGTCTTTGGCACGCTGAATCCCATGATTCCGCACCTTGGCAATGCATTCTTGGGTGCATCGGAGCTTGCACAGCCCCAAACAATCATGGGATTCCTTGGCCGCGTTATAGGCTTCCTAGTGGGTCTCAGGTTTGTTTGTGGGAGCTTAGGGTGTCCAGGTTAGGATGGTCACCGGCAGAAGAGTTGGGGCTTGGGGCTAAGGGTACATAATTTGGATTTGGGAATGATCATGTTTCCGCTACTCTCCAAAAATCGGGAGGCGAGTCATCTCGACGGGACTCTTGAAGCCTCTTGATTGTAAGCGTCACGATCTACACGAACATTTGTTGTTTTGCTTGCCGTGGATTCTGTGTGGAGACTTTGCAGCTGCAACTACCACCTTCTTTCCACATGTATTGTTACATCATATTGCCAACCCAGACCCTCGCAAGAATTAAACACATAGGACGTGCAAATATTTTTCTTTTTCCAGACCTAACAAGCTCTGGTTGAGGGGTCCCTGGCGGGCTTTGGCAAAGCGTAGCCGCACCAACGTTGAAGATGAGTCGGAACTCTTCAAGATCCTGCCAATGGCTCTAAGGCTCCCTCAAAGTTGTCCAACGCGCGCCCGGAAACGCAGCATTTTCAACCAGCGACCAGCAGATACACGAGGTTGACACTGAGTTCAAGGGCTATCATCGCAGCATGGTCAGGGCGATAGCTTGAAATTCGAAATGCGAAGCCCGAATCCCCAGCACTCATCCAGACTCCCCCAAACCCCTACACTCCCTGCTTGAACCCTGAGCGCTCCTTAAGCCAAAGCTCTACACAGCACGCGAGAACCCTTACTACCATGAGCCCCCCGACCCGTACAGTCTGGGTTGCTGTTAAGGAGCTTAAAGTAAGTTACTATAACTATATACCCTTATGAAGGTACCTGAACATAAGTTCCTTAACAGCAACCCAGACAGTCTAGCGTAGACGCAGAAAGGAGAAATCTGATGCCCGCTGCAACAATTTGAAAGACGGTATTATCAGTGTTCCAGACCCTTGGGGATCTAGAAAGTAGATGCCCCTTAAGGGGTCCTAGAAATTATCAAATGGCAGTATAGGGCACCATAATTGGGTTCTACCTTCTAGATCCTCCCAGTGGTCTGGGCTTAAAACCCTGTTTTCGATATTTGGACCCGTGGATTACATGCCCCCTAAAACGCATACATACCTAGCTTCCACATAAGCCTCTATGATTTTCTATTTGGTTCTCCATGATTCCAAATATTATATAAGGCCCCAAACCGCAAGCCCAATATTTGGAACCCCTATACTTGTACCTAAACCCCAAAAGTATGTAAAAGAATAGCCCGAAACCCATAATAACAACCCTAAAGGCCATTATTTTACATACTTTCAGGGTTCAGGTACTCCCTTTCAAGGGACCCCTAGTCATTTAGTCCTTATCCGCCCATCTCCTATCAGGATCCTGGCCTTGATCAATTTTGGCATTTGCCGCACAACTGGCTGCCATTGGCCAATCCATTTGGGTGGTTGTCAAAATTATGGTCCCTTTTTGGGTACCCTAAATATTAGGTGCCGTATCATAATAGGGATCCAAAAAGGGAACATAATTTTGACAGCCAATCCATTTGGGGTTCATTCGCGTTTGGGGCTAGGGTCTAGCGTTTAAGGGTGAAAGGGTAGACTGGAGAAGGTTCAGGGCTTGGTGTGGTTATGCGAGGTTGCAGCCTATGTTGTAGGGTTTTGAGTTTGGGGTGACTCTAGGCGAGTTGTGAAAAGTCATCATTGCAAGGCAGGCTTGCAGTGTTCTGTCGCTGGAGGGTGTGAGGGCTAGGTATGCGCGCTTTATGCACCTTGCAATTCGGGACCATTCTAAGGTTTTATGTCTAATCCTGCAGTTGGCACGTGCCTAGCATTATCCAAACGGGAATTCCTATGTATTCCCCGAGAAAATGTATGTTTGAACTATACAGTTATCTCATCAGCTCAGACGAGAGCCCTCTTGAGTCTAGAAAGCATCAGCCACGTTGAGGATGTTGGGCCTTTTGGGGGGTCAGGCAGGCCCTTGGATAGAGGGTTCTGAGGTCGCAAGGTCTTAGTTACAACCTTGGTTCTGAGTCAGCACCCTGCGCAATGTTGTCGAGTCCATGGGCGTCGTCTTGGATCTGGCAGTTTAAAACAAATGCGGATTTTTGTGGGTGGCCCAAGCCGCGGATGCAAATTCAGGGTTAGGCTTTCCAGGTTGGAGGCAGGTGGCTTGGCGCCGGAGTTTGGGCTTGCAGCCAGGCATCGTGTATGGCTATCTCATCATTGCTGCGGAAACGAGGAGAGCTTTGGGGCTGTTTGTCATTGTCCCATCAGGGTTTCCGCAAGAGCCGTTGAACTGAAAGTGGAAGTCAAACTTTGCCTTCAGGGCGGTTGCGGTAGGAAACCGAGACTGTTCAGTTTCGACTTAGGGTAAACCTTCCTTGAGTTTGATTCGAACATGCTTTCTGAACAGAGGCGTCAGGCTTTTAGAGCTTGCGTTTGGGGCCTCTATAAGTTTGCAGTGCACCGCAAGGAATCGAGATTGAACACGCTGATGCTATTGGCAGACCCAAGTCAGTCACAAGAGTTGCTGCGGAAGATGATGAAACGAAGCCACTGCTCAAGGCAGACTTTCCGTTTCAAAGAGTATTAACGAACCTCCACGGGAGCAAGACCAACATGTTGTTTGCCAGGAAAAAAGAGGACAAGCTCTTGTTGCAGTTAGGCATGTGGCCTTGTAGGTGGTACAGGCTGTGGCTTGGGGTCCAAAGGAGCTGTCAAGCCCTGGTGGAAAGACGATGCAAGGGTGAACGACGCATGAGGTTTCCAAAGCAACTGGAATGGATTTATACATAGTTGCAAACCTTGCATACGGCTTGGGGGTATGGTTTACCCTGAGGCTTATGAACTCCATCATATGGATAGTTAGTCAGGCTGCTGCATGACGTGACACCAACAAAAACACGACAATCTCACAACCTGGCACTATGCCTCAGAGCCCATGTCCAAACATCATCGGCTCACAAGACAGCTCCTTTCCATCCCAAGGGATTGAAAACTATAATGCAACTGTCCTCATACCCTGCTAGCAGCAGGTACTTCTCCAGTTCTGCGCATGTAAACAACTCAGTACTCCAGGAAGCCTGACCTTGGCGGAAATTTCTGGGTCAAGAACTTGCCCCTTGCCGTAAGGAATGGGTTCAGGGTGTCTAGGGCCTCCAACAAGAGTAGGTTTTTGGAGTAGTTTAGCTCAGTGGTTTGAGGCTGAGGTGTAGTCGCACAGTGTCAGGATTTGGGTTTTCTATCGTCGTGTTTTTGCCCCCGCTTTGCGGCCTCCATGTCCTTGAATTCAATCATCGGGTGCAGAGTTTCCCAGAGCAAGCCAGGGTCCAAGCTTGAACCCAGACCCCGGACCCTATGACCCAAACCATTAAAACACCGAACCCTTAACTAAACCTTCTTGACCCTATACCTCCCATTAACCACACTTAAACATTTCGGATGCCAGAACGGAGTTAGCATTTTGGGTGCTGCTTTTTCTTCGCATTATATTGACTACGTAAGCCCTGCAAGTCCTGATGCCTGTAAAGTCTCATCATTAATACAAAGGCTGTGAGAGTGTCCCACGCAAAGCTCTCGATCCTTCCCTGAAACCTGATCCTGCCGCCTACCCAATGTTTTTACCTGGACCTTTGGGTCCCTGTTTGGGCTGCTCAAAGTATGCCCTCTGAGGAACCACGTGCTTCAAGGGTCCATCATTTACTGTTTGCTGATGACCGGGGTCCTCCTGGACCGCGCGCCGAATTTCATTCCGGGAGCAGCGTGCCAGAAGTCAGAGTTGACCTTCAAGGGTATGGGATGGTTAAGGATGGGGGGGTGTCAGGTTCAGCATCAGGAGCCATCCAAACAGAATAGCAGTTGGATTCCTAGTTGAGTTGCTGTGCAGAATGTGCTTCCTCCCAGATTTGGAGAAATGAGCTCTTCCTGCTTCAAGGTTCAAGGGTCTACAAGGTAGCCTAATTACGAAGGCCGTCTTTGCGGTGCTGTGCCTGAAGGGGTTCTCCTTGGCAGCGATTAATGTTCAGGTCGCATTCATCAATGGGGTGACAATAGCGGTTTGTTGCCGGCCCAGAAAAGTCCCGGACAATCAAATTTGCTTTCTAACAAGCTCGGAGCCCGAAAATATATAAACAAGTCCAAACCACAAGAATAAAGGGGTGGCAATAATAGTATTGTCCGGCCGGAAACGTCCCGATTTTAATAGATTCACTTTTACTTGTCCTATTAGTATTACGAGCTGCACTACCTGGTCCTACCCATGTCCCCGTCATTTACTATTGCGGCAGCGACCTCCCCCTTTCCGTAAGCCCAAATCGCAAAACAAGTTCTGGGGGGCTGGGGGGTTATAATTGTCACCAAAACATTAAGGCTCCTGGTTTAGGACTGCCAAAAAACATGGTAGAAATGCAGGAAGAGATTAGGACTTGGAGATGCTCCGAGATGACGTGTTGGGTTGATAAGGAAAGGACCGACAAACTCGCACAAGAAATCTGACCCGCGAACAGCTTCTTTGAAGAGATTCCTGTTGTCTAGAACCAGGCAGGGCTCTACTAAACTCTAGACTACAGCCTCAACCCCAAAGTTCAAGTTGGGTATGTTATTGAAACAAGGCCCCTTCCTCCCCACAAGTTTTTGAACTATGAAATGGGAGAGCAGGGTCTGTGCATGTGGCACCTCTAGAAGTGCATCCACCAGATGCGCCCAAGGAAAAAAAGCAGCAACATCATCATCTGGTGACAAATTTAGTCACGCAACATGTATCCTGATGGTGAAGATGCCCTTGCACCCCTCCCACCTCAACTCCGATGGCTTCCCGTGCAGCTTGACAAAATCTGGTCCTATTGGACTTCATCCCTGAACCATGGGGGGTTGATCGCTATAGTGGCCCGCGTACAGTCCGAAATGCTCTCCCCCCAGAACCCATTCCCCCAATACCCTACGGGGCATACGCAAAAAGCAAGGCTGTCAGCGTCACGTGCCTCATCTACCTGTTCCGATCCTACTGGTACTTCGAGAGGCATTACCGCTGGCAGGCGGCTGGCTGTCCACCCCGTGGTTATTGGTTTCTAGACAGGGAACGAGTATAGACATCGAAGCCATAGCACGGTGGATACGGAATCTTGCACCACTGGTCCCCCAAACGCTTCGGTCGCATGAGGTGGTACACGATTTCCTCCACTGACACTACATATACATCATCCGTGTAAGGTATAACAGTATAAGGTTGAGATTGGGAGTTTGGGGCTTTCCGTTTTAGCTTTAGTCCAAGAAGGTCATGCGTCTATGGCCCGTAGAAGCTTGGGTGACGCAAACGGTTGAGAGATTAAGTAAGTTGTATGGACTAGAGTAATTACGAAGACCGAAGATTCGAAGGGTCCAGCCAAAGACGCAGTCTCAGGAAAATGCCGATCACTAAGCCTAAGCGTATCCTTACCTCATGGACTCTACAGTCGGACACTCTGCTTTACCATAGAAATTTCGCTGGCCGAAGGCTCCCGCTTAACGTTTGATCTTGGCCCTTTGCGTGGTACTCCTTACAGAAGTTTACTTCACGGCGCGGAAGCAAAAAACTTATCTGCGTACAGCAGGGCCCACGTGGAGGCCTACATCTGATCAAGAGATATTGCGCTGCCCTGAACTCTCAAAAAGCCAAAATGTAAAGTCCGTGATCTCGCTAAAAATTATCCCATCATTCTCCTTGTACAATCTGAATAGAAAAGACCGCCAAACCCTATTTCACTCACCTAAGCGCCTATATTATCCGCCCAGTGAGGATCAGAGAATCCTCCACAACTCTCTCCGTCTACTCATAGAGGATAATTGAAGAGAACTGCTCCAATGCTTTGATCAGAAGATAGGGGTGAAGTCGACACGGCTTGGAAGTCCCCAATATACAGTATTTTTGCGCATAGGGGGGCCCCGTTTTTGCAAAGTCCCAGAGAAACATATCCTGAAATAGTCGAGGGGCGTGGGAACACGCCTATGACAAGATTTCAGCCTAGGATGAGGAAAGAGTCGCGTGCCAGTCAAGCACCCTTTGGCTGCTGTTGATGGGAGAAAGCCTGCAGCGCTCTGGAATCCTAGGCAGTACCATAGCTAAGGGCTTCTAGGTGGTCCAAGAGTTCTTCTGTCAGCCAGCTTTCTTGAGAAATTAGCCTAAACCCTAAACCCAACCTTCATGCCATCGCCAGGCCCTGCCCTTCGTGGAGATCATGTACAAAGACAAGGCCTCTCAGAGTTCCTCATGGCACCCTTAACCTTCCAAAACCCTAAGCCCTGTCAAGCCCCTAAAGCCGCCTTCAGTGACTTTACCTGAACCGTCAGCCCCGAGCCTTAAAGTGTGGGCTTAACTAAAGCTTTTGCTGTGTTTCGCGGGCCAGACCCCACGGCAGGAGGGTTTTCGGGAGGCCAGCCCGTGGGCCTCGAAAATAGGCATGACGAGGGGTCTGTTCTGATGCGGCACCACGTGGAGGCTGTTTGGGACGCTAGGCGGCAGCTTTTTAGGCACGTTGGAAGCCGTTCTTGGGCACACGGAGGCCGGTCGCGCTCCGCTGCTTCATGAAAAACTGCATGCGCCAGTTTGCGCCCTGTTTCTAAGCTTTCGTCCCACCCTCCCTCCTTGGCCGCAAGTCTTTTTTACTCCACAGGCGCGGAATGAGTCCGGATTTCCGTGAACTCGTGTAGTTCGGATCCACATACTTGGGTCCCCATACTAGTTAGGGGGCCCGCATTGGAAGATTTAAGGGGTGAGCCTCAAATCCTGTAGCCCTGAATCAAAAGCCTAAGCCATCTTTGGTGGGCAAAGCCGCTGCTGCGGTGGGACCTGTAGACCACTCAAAATTCTGAGTGCCATTGAGGCGGGGAGGGTTCTGAAAGGGCTGCAACTCTTTATTTTGAAGGAGGGGCAGCCGTAGTGAAGAAAACCTGTCGCATTGACAAGGACAATGGTCTGGTCCACAGATTCCTACTAGGGAGGCCGGAAGCTGAAATAATCTGTGTATGATCAAGAGGTACCTTTCTAGGGATCCTATGCTTCGAGCGAGCTCTCAACATATGCCTTGTTAGTAGTATTAGAGAAGATCGCCAAAAAGGAATTCCAAGAGTGAGGCTATCTTCGGACAGTTTCTTCTGGAAAGGTGACGTCTTACTTGCTACGGATTCGAACCATTTTTACCCTAAAACCCTCAGCGCCGAACCATAATCATCAGCATTGAGGCCCTTGCCCTACCCCCATCCAGAAAAAGCTTAGCATATCTTGAAAGGTAAGGCATCCAGCTTGGAGAGGAACTGTGAGGGACAAGAGAGGCTTAGAAGGCATTGCAAGGAATGCATATCAAGTTTTCACGAACATACAGCTCTTCCCCATCAACGACAACTGTTCTTGCCCCAAACAGACGGTGCAGAAACACGATGATGTGTTGAGGCATAGTGATATATGTATGTATATCATATTTATGTCAGCCGGGGTGGTTATGCCAAGAAGCCAGCAGGGCTAATCCGCAGTCTTTAAACCTATGGCCCCATACACTCTAAACCCTAAGCCAAAGAACTGATACCACACTCGAGGACATGATCGCCGCCGCTTCAGAAGATGCGGGAGAAAGCTACGAGCAGCAGCACGACTGAACTGGATACCTTCCCGCTGCATTGGGACGGGCTAGGTCTTTGGTCCGGGCCTTGTCTCCTCCACCAAAAAAAGATTCTGCCCAGGGTCTGTGTTCCACCCAATCCTGAAGCCACCTAGGCCTAAAAGTCCTTCAAGAGAGCGCGCAGTGTGAGAGTCTAAGTCCTTCATCTTCGAACCTCATTCTTGGTTAGCTAGGGCCGGAGTAGATACTATTTGATACCACTCCCTGCATAATTTGCTTTCCCGGCATGAACTCCTTCCAAACACGACACCTTCAACTCCCAACAGTAAGCCCAAAACTCTGAAATCTCAAAACCCGCAAGCCGCAACGCAAAACTCTAGATCCGAAATCCTGTTATCTCTCTCCTACGGGAAGCAAAACCTGAAACGGGGGAATGGATCCCTAGAGCAATCCCTTCCTAATCCCCAGCATACCTACTTTATCCTGTATCCCTCTACCAAGGCAGCTTACCCTCAAACCAAGAAAAATCCCAAATACAAAACCCTGAATCCTTTCAAGCTAAACCTAAGCCCTAAAACCCTAAACACTATCCTCATATACATTATACCCAGTATATACCCTGTTTTCATATAGTAGTTTGGGTTTTTCTTTTCCATTACTCTATATATCCCTATGATTCTAGTATTTGGGGCGCTGAGCCTTAAATAGTAGCTTCCATTTTCTTTTGCACGACCTCCCAAATCTTATTGGTGGCCAGTAGGGAACAAGGGAATACAATCCCTATAGAATC